GCACACATTTTTTTTGTGAATTCCCTTACCTCTGCCCATTTAGGAATGTTCTTTAATAAAACATAGTTCAACCTTCTCGGTGTTAAATTTTAGGAAAAAAAGGGCCACCTCTGGGTGATCTGTTTTTCTGTTGAAATTATATAAAGAAGGTAATTAAGATTCTTACCCAATATTTAAATTTCACATTTTAAATGTTGACAAAGCTTTATTGCTCCGTACCAAATTAGCGTGTTCACTTCTTGCATAAAGTTTATCTTCAAGACATTGAAATTTCAAAAAGTAAGTTTCTTCTTCGGTTTCATATGCTAACATTTACCTTTAGTTTTCAGTATTGTTTATATTTAGCTCTCTTAAAAAATAATGACCAACTTGACGATCGTTCATGTTTCTTTCCTCAAACGTAACATTCATGGCTTTCCTACTGATGAAGTTAGTTTGAAGTTAGATGATGTAACGTTGCTTCGCTTTTGCAGAACTTGCACAGCATTGAGATAGATTTAGTGTCACTGGAGCTTAAATGAAGACGTAGACTGTAATGGTTATAAAGGAGGAACCAATGGTTATATAATTGGGGAGACAATAGTTGTGTAGCGGGAGCAGAAATGTAGTGATCATTATGGTGGTGTAGGAGGAGTCAAAGCCCATGTGGGCAGTGACAATGGTTATATAATTGGGGAGACAATAGTTGTGTAGCGGGAGCAGAAATGTAGTGATCATTATGGTGGTGTAGGAGGAGTCAAAGCCCATGTGGGCAGTACTAGTGACAATGGTTATATAATTGTGGAGACAACAGTTGTGTAGCGGGAGAAGAAATGTAGTGATCATTATGGTGGTGTAGGAGGAGTCAAAGCCCATATGGGCAGTGACAATGGTTATATAATTGGGGAGACAATAGTTGTGTAGCGGGAGCAGAAATGTAGTGATCATTATGGTGGTGTAGGAGGAGTCAAAGCCCATGTGGGCAGTGACAATGGTTATATAATTGGGGAGACAAAAGTTGTGTAGCGGGAGCAGAAATGTAGTGATCATTATGGTGGTGTAGGAGGAGTCAAAGCCCATGTGGGCAGTGACAATGGTTATATAATTGGGGAGACAAAAGTTGTGTAGCGGGAGCAGAAATGTAGTGATCATTATGGTGGTGTAGGAGGAGTCAAAGCCCATGTGGGCAGTGACAATGGTTATATAATTGGGGAGACAAAAGTTGTGTAGCGGGAGCAGAAATGTAGTGATCATTATGGTGGTGTAGGAGGAGTCAAAGCCCATGTGGGCAGTGACAATGGTTATATAATTGGGGAGACAAAAGTTGTGTAGCGGGAGCAGAAATGTAGTGATCATTATGGTGGTGTAGGAGGAGTCAAAGCCCATGTGGGCAGTGACAATGGTTATATAATTGGGGAGACAAAAGTTGTGTAGCGGGAGCAGAAATGTAGTGATCATTATGGTGGTGTAGGAGGAGTCAAAGCCCATGTGGGCAGTGACAATGGTTATATAATTGGGGAGACAAAAGTTGTGTAGCGGGAGCAGAAATGTAGGGTTTGATCATTATGGTGGAACTACTATAAAGCTAATAAGATCAAGGTAAAAAATAAGCCAGCTCAGGCCTACATTATTGAAAGCCGTTATGTTTGACTGTTTGCAATGTAATGGTACCATGACAACCGTTGTCGTGACCCCGTTATCATTTTGATGACGTAACGTACATTGCGGATGACATCAGTGAGACAAAGGACGCTTACCTCTCTGTAATGCCTGGTCTTTTTTCCTTTATAGTTTATAATATTTTAATGGTCTTGAATGGTTTTAATTTTCCCTTGCCTTTATTTTGCCCTAGCTTCATCGATTTAGAGCTCTTATAGCGTTCTACCTTGGGTATAAAATGTTCCTAATTGTGACATATTTTTACAGACTGTTGAAGCAGTCTGTAAATATGAATTTCTATCATGATATTATTTTATTTTCATACAATTTATATATGAAACGTTTGCGCGTATACATGGTAATAATTTTGTAATTAAGTTTTCACGTTTTCAATTTCAAAGAGCTTGTAATGTTGAAAAGAGTTGATTTGAACAATATTACTGTCAGTTTAGTTGATCTCAAATGACAATTTTTCTAAAATACTGGTATTGAAAATTTGCGTTAATTGTTTTGTTAATCTGCATTAATTCTGATATTCAAAATTGTAATATGATTTAACTATTGTTAAAAAATCATCTCTTGACACAGTGATTTGATTTCAGGAAATCTTTAGCTCAAGATCATTGAGAAGAAATGTAAAATTAAAGAAAATTTCAATTCAAACGTTCTTGCATGTATATAGTGATACCGGGTCCAGAAGTAAATTTAGATTGCCTGTCATATGCATTTCTCTCCGATAGACGGCGCTCATTGATACTTATGCATTTTTGGATGCGACGCCCGTTAGACAGTGGCAAAAGTAATAGCAGGCGATCAGTTTTTTACTTTAAACTATCATTAGCTCACCTGGCCCGAAGTTCCAAGTGAGCTTATGGCATGTTGCGGCGTCCGTCGTCAACTTTTTACTTTAAACAACTTCCTCTCAGTAACCAAAAGGCCTAGGGTGATGATAGCTGGCCATTAACATGCTGGGATGAAGGGCTACCGACTTTGTTCAAATAAATGACCTTCATCCATTTTCAAGGTCACAGGGGTCAAATATGTTAAAATCTTCTTATGAATAACCGAGAGGCCTAGGGTGATGATATTTGGCCAGTAACATGCTGGGATGAAGGGCTACCAAAATTGTTCAAATATTTGTAAATGACCTTCATCCATTTTCAAGGTCACAGGGGTCAAATATGTTAAATTCTTCTTATGAATAACCGAGAGGCCTAGGGTGATGATATTTGGCCAGTTACATGCTGGGATGAAGGGCTACCTAATTTGTTCAAATAAATGACCTTGACTTATATTCAAGGTCACAGGGGTCAAATATGTTTAAAACCTTTAAACAACTTCTTTTGAAGAACCGAGAGGCATAGGGTGATGATATTTGGCCAGTAATCGTTGGGATGAAGAGCTACAAAGTTTGTTCAAATAAATGACCTTCATCCATCTTCAAGGTCACAGGGGTCAAATATGTTAAAATCTCTAAACAACTTCTTCTGAATAACAAAGAAGTCTAGGGTGATGCTATTTGGCCAGTTGCATGCTGGGATGAAGAGCTACCAAGTTTGTTCAACTAAATGACCTTGACTTCTATTCAAGGTCACAGGGGTCAATATATGTTTAAATATTTAAATGATTTGTTCTGTATAACCATAAGGTCCAGGGTAATGATATTTTGCTAGAAGCATGCTGGGTTTGAAGACTATACACTCTGTTCAACCTAATGTGCTTGTTCGACATTCAAGGTCACGGGCGTCATATGTTTAAATCTTTCAATAGTTTCTTATGAATCAAACACTGATATTCTGCCTGTAGTTGTTTTTTTAGCCCAATTGTAAGATTACAAGTGGGAGATTAATATCAGGTGAGCGATTTTTGTTTTTGGGTTACTTCTCCATCAGATCAAGTTACTTTATATGTGTGATACTGACATTACATAGAGACATCGAAGCATTTAAATACTTTTAAAGGATAAAGAACAGACAAAGGAACGCATACAGGTAAATGTCGTTTATTACCAGTTCTACCCGACTAGGGCTAGGAATCACACTCACATGTTACACTGAAGATCACATAGATATCAGCTTGGGCACTCTAGCTAATCTCCTACATTTCTAGGAGCGGTTTGAGACTTTCTTTTCTAAACAAAAACAAGTGACAGCAGACTACGACGGAGAAAGTCTAATCTAAACGTGCACATTTGTGTGAAAATAAAACACAACTATAAAATCCAATGTAATTTCTAGAAAATGAAATAGAAATACTTTTTTATGATCACATAACGTTTAAGATTGAATTATGCCGCGTTTAAACTCAACTAGGTCTGTAAAAAACAAAAAACCTAATTATTTCAGTTTGCATTCACTCTAGGCTGCATCTAAATGACCAGTATACATACTATAGCTGGGCTAGCATCACTCGCAGAAATAAGTAACATGATTTCTATAGTTATTTATTAATCACCTTAGGCACTCATAGTAAGTAAAATGTCAATCCGTGGCATCATGATCAGTTATCTCAAGTAGCGGGTTTCCGACTCGATAAATGTTAAATAAATTAATGTAAAATGGTACCAATACTGAACTAGGTATCACTGAAAAATATGTAATAATAAATAAATCGGATAAATAAGATAAATTACAACGACAACAGTGTGCTCTTGAAATGTTCATCACATCACACTTCAGTACAACAGTACTGCATACATATCACAGCAGAGCGACAGTTCGATATCAACATTATAAGTGGTTAGCTAATCCAGCGTCTAACGCTATCCTTATTTTAAGAATTTATGAATGATATCTGCTAATTATAAAGGCAAGACTACGTGTGCATAAGACAACCATCGGCGGCATTTAGTGAAAAGGTAACACATCATTAAATAGGGCGTGGACCAGATGTCCTCTGAGCGCTCCATAGGGCACTGATTTCCTAATTCTAAAAAAAACAAGCTTCTTAAACAGCCTATTGCAGTATTTTGTTTCTGGTTACTTCGTTTAAGTGAATCTACTTAATGTTACAAAATTTTAAGCAAACAAATATACGCAAAGCTTCATTTTAGCAACTTCAATAAAAACCAAAAACTTTTAAAACATGCTCGACATTCAAACTGATTTCTGTATGTGTTTACATTTGACTGAACACCAATTACTTTTTTTTAGATATGGGAGTGAATGTTAAACAGTGACACAAGATTTTGCTTTCAAAAAGAAAATGGACGAACAGTTCTAGAACGATAATGAAGGCTTCTGCGTCACAGTCATTTGTCAGCCTTGCTTACAACTTTCTTAATTCAAGCAATGCGTTTCCTTAGGGGAAATCAAAATTAGGAGACACTTCTAAATATATATATATTGTGTTATATATTGCAGTATTTCACCAACTGTATAGGTACATATTTCTTCTGGGAAACCAGTGACTTCCAGGAAAGGCTGGATGGCAACCAAGAAAGATTGGTGACGCTGGATAGACAGATGACATCCAGGAACAGACTGGTATCTGGGCACTACGGGTTGGCAGCCCAAGGTGCAGTCCTTGCGAGAGGACACCATTAATCCAGCTACAACACAACAAGAAGAAACACACCCCCAAAGCCTTCCGAGAGGGGGGAGGATGAAAGGCTTATACGGACAGATATAACGGAAACGACACGGACACGGACGCAAACTCGTTTGGTACAAACAACGCTGACAGGAGCATCAGCAGAAGTAAAGTGCCAGTGCGGAAAGGTGTGTAAGAACATCCGGGGATTGAGGATTCATCAAGCAAGGGTGAAGTGCAGACTTGTGGAGTTACAGACGCAGCGCTCAGAAGTAATTTCTGGTGAGACGCAGGAGGACCCCAGCCAGGAGGCACCCCATAGTGTTGGGGACCTCTCTGCTTCGGTTTCGTCACAGGTCAGCCATTCAGACTTGAGTGATACAAACCACGACCAGGGTGTTCAAGCACATCCAACACAGCCAGCACGAAGGTTGAGGATAGAGTGGCCAAAGATGAACAACAATGAAGCTTGGAGAAGTTTAGATGCTGACTTACATACCATCCTAGAGTCGGCTCTAATGGGAAGCGTAGAAAGGAAGGTTGAGGCAATGGGAACTTTCATCTACACATTCTGCAAGGAACGATTTGGATTAGGAGGAAAGCAGAGAAATCCTAAGAACGTAATTATCCCGAATAGAAGACAGGATAACATCCAACGACTCAGGCGAGAACTGAAAGCAGTCACACGACAGTACAGGAGGGCAAGTGATATAGAGAGGATAGGATTACATCAGCTGCGGGACGACATCAGGGAGAACTTGGCAAGACTCAGGAAAGCAGAGCAGGTTAAGAAGGCAAGGAAGGATAGAGCAAGGAAGAGGGAGTCCTTTATCAAGGACCCTTATTCTTTTACAAAGACTCTGCTGGGAGGGGAAAGATCAGGCCGTTTGAATAGTTCAACAGCAGATATTGAGCAACACCTGAGGGAAACGCACGGAGATGAAGATAGGGGCATTCCACTTGGGAACTGTCCACGGATAGAAGCAGAGGAGCCGCCAGAGTTTCCGCTTGACACCAAGGAACCAACTTGGAAGGAGATCCAAGATGTTGTTAAGAAGGCAAGAACTGGTTCAGCTCCAGGCCCAAGTGGAATTCCTTATAAAGTGTATAAGAAGTGCCCACGGCTTTTGAGGAGACTATGGCAGTTACTGAGGAAAGTGTGGAAGAAGGGGAAGATACCACCATGTTGGCAGAAGGCAGAGGGATGTTTTGTTCCAAAGGAGAAGGACTCAAAACACATCGGGCAGTTCAGGACAATTTCCTTGCTGAGTGTTGAAGGCAAGATTTTCTTTGCAGTATTGGCAAGAAGGATGACATCATACATGATGACCAATGGATACATTGACACATCAGTACAGAAAGGAGGTATCCCAGGCTTTTCAGGTTGTGTGGAGCATACCAGTGTGCTCAGCCAACTAATCAGAGAGGCCAAGTCCAGCCGAGGGAATCTGACAGTAGTGTGGCTAGACCTGGCAAACGCATACGGATCAATACCACATGAGCTGATTGAAGTAGCCCTACAACATTACTTTATCCCGGAGCATATACAGGGAATAGTACGAAGCTACTTCAGTGGAATCCAGGTGCGCTTTACTGTCGGGGAGGATACAACATCCTGGCAAAACATGGAGAAAGGAATAGTGACAGGATGTACCATATCAGTCATTCTATTTGTCATGGGGATGAATCTTATCATCAAGGCAGCAGGACGGGAAACCAGGGGGCCCAGGACAGAATCAGGAATCTACCAACCATCGAATCGAGGTTTTATGGATGACCTGACTGTGACTACCACCACACATGTCCAAGCAAGATGGGTTCTGTCTGCATTGGAGGAGGTAGTCTCATGGGCGAGGATGAAATTCAAGGCAAGAAAATCAAGGTGCATGATAATGAGGAAGGGACGACTGACACAACAGTTCAAGCTGAAAGTACAAGGAGAAGAGATCCCATCAATTGCGGACAACCCAATCAAGTGCCTAGGAAAGTGGTTTGATGCATCACTGAAAGATACCAGCAACATCAGCAGCATGCAGAAGCAGGCAATTGAGTGGATGAGGAAGATTGACAAGTCAGGCCTGCCAGGAAAGTTCAAGGCATGGATCTTCCAACATGGACTGCTGCCGAGACTCATGTGGCCCCTGATGCTATATGAGGTCCCTTTGACAACAGTGGAAGGACTGGAAAGATCCATCAGCAGCTACCTGCGGAGGTGGCTTGGAGTCCCGCCCAGTTTCTCCAGCATTGGGCTCTACAGCCGGACATCATCACTGCAACTCCCACTGTCATCGTTGGTGGAGGAGTTCAAGGTAACAAAGGCCAGACTAGTGATGACGCTGCGAGATTCAAAGGACGTGAAGATAAGAAATGCAGGAATCCAGACTAGGACAGGAAGGAAATGGTCTGCAAGCCAGTCTGTGGAGCAGGCCGAGGGCGCTCTCAAGCACCGGGACATCGTCGGAGCAACCTGCTCAGGCCGGCAAGGGTTGGGGACAACCCATTTTCAGACGTGGGAAGGATCAGATGATAAGGAGAAAAGATCTCTGGTACAGGGAGAAATCCGCAGAGAAGAAGAAGGGACCAGGAAAGCAAGGGCAGTGGAAATGGGCTCTCAAGGAGCATGGACGAAATGGAAGCTGCCGGAGCGAAAACTTACATGGACAGACCTGTGGCGCTATGAACCATTGAGGATCCAGTTCCTGTTGCGGTCAGTATATAACACTTTACCATCGCCAGCGAACCTTCATCTGTGGGGACTAGTCGAAGAGCCAAAGTGTCAGCTATGTCAAGAACGTGGGACCATGGGCCATATCCTTTCGGCATGCAAGACAGCGCTAACACAGGGACGATACCGGTGGAGACATGACCAGGTGCTTCGGGAATTGGCAGATGTTCTCGAGGTGGAAAGGAAGAAGAAGAGACCACCTCGTAAGCACAAACCATCCTTCATCCGGTTTGTAAAAGCAGGGGAGAAGGAGACGAAAGCAACATCAGGCAACACTGGCATTCTGGAAGGGGCAGAGACATGGGAGATGAGAGTTGACCTGGGGAAGAAATTGGTGTTTCCGGACGTCGTACAGACAACGCTACGTCCGGATGTGGTGATATGGTCTGCCGAATCCAGGCAGATTATAGTCATCGAGCTGACTGTGCCCTGGGAGGAGCGGTGCGACCAGGCCAATGAGAGAAAGAGAGCCAAGTATACGGAGCTCATGGAACAATGTAGGGAGCGAGGGTGGCGTACTTGGCTGTTTCCTGTGGAGGTCGGATGCAGAGGGTTCCCGGCACGCTCAGCCTGGAAGACATTGCAGGCTGTGGGATTAGTTGGAAAGACACGCAAGACGGCGGTGCGCAGGCTAGCAGAGGCTGCCGAGCGCGCATCATGCTGGTTGTGGAACAGACGGGAGGAGAAAGACTGGAAGCCATCCATTGACGGGCAGTGAGTTGATCGCCACTGTCGACCCACCATCACGAGGACGTTCCGGGACAAGGGTTGAAACGTCTAGAGACTGATGGACCCGGCTGATGATGTCAATGGATTCGCAGTATTTCACCAACTGTATAGGTACATGTTACAGGGGGGAGATGATTTACTGACAACTATGAGAAAAACAAAATACAAAATGCAAGACTATTTTCACAAAGCGGGTTTAGGAATTTTTGCTTTCAACATAAAAAAATAAAATAAATTCAAAGATAATATTTGAAGACCGTTTTTCTCATCAAAATGCGAAAAAACACTTAATACTCGTTTGGATACTTATGTATTTGTTGCTGCTCGTATGCTTATGTATGGCAAGGAAAAATGTTCAATAAAATGAGAAAAGTACTATTTCACACTTTCTTAAACGCTAAACCACTCGTTAACCATCTACCATCAATATGAATCTAAATGCTTAAAGGACTGTTAGCCAACGCAAATGTAACTTAAACCCGAAAAGAGTTTCTTAAAATTTCTATTTTTGTTCTTAATAAAGCTACATATCGATCTTTGCTTGAACAAAATGTATGCAATATTAAATGAATTTTCTCCCCTTAATCATATATAAAAGCATCTCATTGATCGAAGTGATTCCAGGTAAGATTCGATGAAAAAGCGACGCCACCTGACTAACGCCAATCTCGCAATACACCTCACAGAGAGCAATCTGGGACATCATAATAACTGCCGCTGTGACGTCGTAAGGTTTTCTGCTATTTCTTTTATTTAAATAATAATAATATTTAGAAATTGGATGCTTATTAGTTAAGTTTGAAATATTTGGGGTGTCTGAAAAACATTTTCCGTTTGTCCTCTGAAATTAATTTCTTGTTAATAACGGATAGAACGTAAAGTCAAAATAGATTTCTTCTTAACAAGTATTCAAACTTTCACCGGAGCAGTGGGTTTTTTCAAGAGATCTTTTGATGTTGGCAATACATGTTCTGAGGAGAATAAATATATCCACAGGTAAATATAATGACCCATAAACCTGTTTATCGACTAAGCCTTTTCTGTTGCCTGCTTTGTATTTTGTTGTTGAGTTTTACTATGTCGATACCCGATCAGGTACCATAGAAGAGGTCCATCTGCCAGAGGGATACAAGACGCTTCAAATTCTGTACTTCTTTATCAACTTGTTGATGATTCTTACTATTATTTTCCTCTGTCAGAGGGATGAACGACTCTTCAAATTAAGTTTTCCTTTTTAGACTTGTTGGTGGTGGTTCTTATCATTATCACTTACTGCCAGAGGAATACACGACGCTTCAAATTATGTATTCTTTTTATAATTTTGTCGATGGTTCTTATTATCATTTTTGTAACAAAGAATGTCGGTATGTCCGACGTGTCAACATGTTATGATGGTGATTTGAACGAGTAATTCATATTAACAAGTTGTGGGAGCGATTTCAAAAATGGCTTGGGTAATACTTAAAATTGTGATAGCTATCGGAACTATATAATTCCAAAACCAGATTTTGGTTACAATCTAACTAGTAATTACAAAGAGGTTTTTATAACAATATAACTAAATAAACTACAATTAGATTCTGTTAAAAATCTAAGTTGTAATTCGAAAGAAGTTTTAGTAAAGTAATAAATCGGTAGGTCATGTATTGACTAAATGGATTTTCATTTTCATTCTGAATTTATTTATAAGGTGTATTCATTGCTTGTGGTGCTAAACGGACAAATTAATATTTCTAAACGAAATATATTTAAAAGTGTTAAAACTGGCAATGCATACAGTAAACCAGTAACGAGGATGTATCACGTGGTACTAACACACTTCGGTAGAAATAAGAGATAAAATGATTTTGATTAGTAGTTTAAAATCTGTCCCTTTAGATTACTTCGCTGTTTCCAAGTTTAAATGATTTCAGTAATCAGTGTGAGTATATATATAAAACAGCCTAGGTTGATTGTGACCACGACACAAAGTGTGTCCGCCAATTTGTTTCGACATGACAACTGGTGACACGAATATTTATATCCAATTTGTTAATGATATTGCTGCCTGTAGTGAATCACTTCTAAAATAGTATCCTTGTTGCAGAGTAGTCACGTTCACAATAGCCGAAGTAACTACATTATCACACAGAAGTCTCGGTCTGGTGTCAAATTATTGTTACACGGAAGCCTCGTTCTAGACCGGGATTTTTTGGTTACACATTTGCCTCGTTAGCTTCGGTCTGAAGGGAAATTTTGTTTGATATCTGACACTCCCCGCGGGGATTACTCGCCATGAGCACAAACTCGTATTCCACATTTGTGTCGAGTCCAAATACGCGATGGTCCTGGCGCCCATATAATACCAACGTGCGCCATGCACGGCTCAGTGCAACAGGACGGTACAACAGGAAGTGCGATATATTCTGTTCTGCGGCGACATCTTGTGGACTAGAACTGTAGATCTGTATGGATGTGGCAAACTGGCGACACAAGCTCTCTATTATCACAGGAACTGAAACGCAATAATGTCAAATGTTACAGGCAATATGAATGAAAGATGTGATTTCTTTTTCAATATTTTGATTATTAAGAGTATCTATCTTGCATTAATGAGAACGACATCGACAAATGTAGGTTAATAACTTACCCGGCACCACACTTTCTCCCGGAAGGAGTGTAATGCACTGGACGACCTCAGAGTTGGCGCTTTTCCCCGCGCTGTTTATGGCACTCACACAGAAGTAGTAGGTGGTCCCTTTACACAGGTTCTCAAGAAGAATGACAACCAAACCCGAACTGTTCGGAACACCTCGGGTCGTGGATTTTTCATCTGGAACGTTCTTCACAACCACTGTGTCCTACAATACAGTATCAGTATCAAGTATGTGTGGTTGAATTCAAGCTTTACTTTGACCTCTGATTTGTATCTGGTATTACATATTGCTTAAAAATAACGCTCCATGCTTAAAAATCAAAGCGATTGCTCATCACAGAGTTAAAATTGCGCTTAGGAATATACTAAGACACCGAAACATAGATTGTATACTATCGAATGATAGCAATTTCACTATAAATGATAGCAATGTCACTATAAATGATAGCAATGTCACTATAAATGATATCAATGTCACTATAAATGATAGCAATGTCGCTATAAATGATAGCAATGTCACTATAAAGGATAGCAATGTCACTGAAAATGATAGCAATGTCACTATAAAGGATAGCAATGTCACTGAAAATGATAGCAATGTCACTATAAAGGATAGCAATGTCACTATATATGATAGAAATGTCACTGAAAATGATAGCAATGTCACTATAAAGGATAGCAATGTCACTGAAAATGATAGCAATGTCACTATAAAGGATAGCAATGTCACTATAAATGATAGCAATGTCACTATATATGATAGCAATGTCACTATAAATGATAGCAATGTCACTATAAATGATAGCAATGTCACTATAAATGCGTCCTCTTCTTTTATCACTCTTGCTTCTGGATAGACTGTTTCACAATATTTAAAACAATATATTCACGCAAACAAATGTTAAGACAGCATGAAAGTATTTACTTACTTCAATCTCCAGCCTCTTCTGTTCCTCGGAACAATAGTGAATTTCGTACTGTTGGATAACGTCATGGGGTCCGAATGGCGGGGATATCACCAATACAACCATATTGTCGCTACGCGAACATCGAGTGACGTCAATGACGGGTGTTGCTGGAGCTGTAAGTACGATTGTTATGAACTTGAACAGGAATTCCACATTTTACTTAAAAACGATAATTGTTTTACTTTCATGAACAATAATGTATACTAAGGCTTTACGACAATAATATGTTCAAAGTGTAAATTGGTGACCATTTTCTAAACCGGAAGTGAGCTATTTTCTTTTATTGAGGATTGTTATGCAACGACTTTAGGTATAATTGACAAATATATTAAAACACGGATGGAAAAAACACCAAACGAAACAGAAGTTAAAGTTTAATACGAACCAACGAGGTAATGTAAATCCCTGAGTATATTTTTCTCTCGCCGGAAATCGACTACTTTTTCCTGGAGAAAGCCAAGGTCAGCAGGATTGAACTGTACACTTTCACAGTCTAGAGTTGTTTTGATCAACCTGTGAACAGATATGAAGTTTTCATTTTTTTTCATTTTAAATGAGTTGTCGTTAAAAATCCCACGTTATGAAACGGAACTGCCAACAGACCTGTGAAATGACCGACAAAATGCTTACTTGACTGTGATCGGTGCACAAAACATCAAAATGGACCAATCAAGTATTTCAATACGAAATGCATTAAAAATAGTAAAATCTGGAAGGTAATATATACTGTAAACCATTAGCGTGGATGTGTAATAAATGAGTATCACCTACTCCTCCTGACCTTCCATATGTGTATATGTGAGTGATATTAATGTGTACTGACCTATGTAACGTGGATAGGACACTCTTATAAGTGGAAGATCTGTTTATATTAACCAGACAGGATTTCTTGAAAAATCTTGACCTTGGAATGTCAGCTTCAGATTTTACTTACTTTTCAGCCGTAGAACTGGACGCCTGAAATGTAGAAACAATGTTGCATGTTTAGTCAACGTCTATTGCAACCTAATCTCGTCCTTTTGATAAATTATTTTTTAAAGATAATATTGATTCATTCGGCAAGTGTGGTATATCTAAAAAGTCACATGAATCTACAAATGTGATACTACTCTGAAAACACTATCCTGGCCATAGGTTCACCCTAACGATGTACAAAGAAACACATATTTCTTAATGTGGAATTGGATATCTTTATCACTATATACGTGTACTAACCTCCAACAAATCTACTTGATCTTGTAGTAGAACCTCGCTAGTATGACCGAGGAGTGCCTGTGCAGACCGTTGGATTTGATCCATGACTTTGATAAGGTCATCCATGTCATTCTGACGCATGCGCTCCTCATACTCAAGGTCTGACAGGAAAAAATGGCGTTTGTTTTCGATCTCGGCTAAAAGAGCGTCGCATTGCGAGTTTATGTCATCCCTCCGTTTGTTGATCGCTTGCTGTTAAATTAGAAACAAAATGCGTCACGTTAGTTACTGTATAAATATGCAATTGGCACACTTGTATAATCCAATATTCAGCTCTTCTTTGTCATTTCCTTCAACTGGATTATGAAGCACATAATGGGAGTAGAAACGAAGAGGCGTTTGGAGGACCTTTACAGATCAAAAGATGGAAAAGACTTCGCAATTAAGGGCAAATGCACGAGGAAAACCAAAGAACGACAGCGAACATTTAATTGGACGTCAATTTGACAATCCAAAGTTACTACCAGTTATCAAAAGCAACAACATCCTGATGTCATAGGTAACACAGTACTTGAGTCAATATCAAAACTCGCCCTAGAAGCATTGTCACTATGTGGATCAGATCAGAAGAACATAGCAAGATAAAGGAAAGGAGAGAAGTCTACAAACTTGAACAAAAAATCAGGGTTCCTATATGAACAGAGGAAACGGAGGTCTACCAAAATCTCAATGAGAAAATCGAATACTTCATCGATAGCAGCCTAAGGCAGAATGTATACCTTTATCACTCTCTGTAGCATCAGACAAGATGCAATGAATAAACAAGAGACCATTAACACATAGTCATAAACATAGGAGGCTTTCGTGCAGGTCGGGGATCTAGAAAAAACATACCATCTGTTACCCACTGCATATTCGCAAGAAGCAACTAATGCGGGAACCCCGGTAGGAAATGTTTTTTTTCTTTTGTACCCCATGATTGAGGACACAAAAGCAATCTAAATGAATGTGTTGCAATGGGCGTTGCATTCTGTGCAACAAATAGGATATTGTTATTTACTCTAATCTTCCACTCCTCCAACTACTATTTTTGCTTCATGAAAACATTGTTTTGCAATACCCTGCACTTTTGAGCAGTTGTACACGCTATGAAGATAATGAGTTTTGTTCCCTTGCACGACAAACTAAGTCCTACAACTTGGTTTTCGGTCTCTGCTTGACGTTCAGGTTTTAATTGGTGAAAGTAACTTCCGTTGTCAGTATAACGTGACCGGCTGGTGTGCCATGCTGTCAAGATTGTGACATTCCAGTGAGATGACACTATAAAGAGGCCCTTGTGTGGTCCCATCATCTGTTGACATGTCCTTCATACTGCAATACCCATAGCGAGAAAGTAAAAACCCAAACAATCACACACTCGGAAAGTTGGCAACAATATTGAAAACGAAAAAAAGGGAGGGACCAATTGGTTCAGGGATGTAGAATAGTACATTAAACACTTATCATTTGCCTCGTCATGTCATTTTTACATGTATCGATTCACCCTGTATGCTACAGTTTAATTTCAAAACTGAGTTGTAATGTACTACTTACCTGCATGTCTTTGAGGTTGTCTCTCTGTGACTTAATGGTTACCACAACTTTGGATTGACTAGTCTTTAATTTTTCTGACTTTTCTGCCAACGATAACTGTTGAATAAGAAGAGAAAGAGCTTTATCAATATGTTGCGTGCATTTACGTCTAATGAATATCAATGAAACCATTTGCTATGTGTTTGTCATAGCGAAAACGCTTTCGTAAAAAAGGGTTTTTGCAACATAAGTGCTGTATCAAATCGCTTCAATTGTTTGAGTATGTGTTATATCTCATACCTTTACATTCAGGAACGCTTCCTCGATAGGCGCCATATTGTGTTTCTTGTGTCGATCTGTAGTTCGACAAAGGTCACATGTGGTCATCTCGCAGCTCAGACAGTAAAGCGTCACGGGCATCTTTTTGTGTACCGTGCACACACCGGAAGTTACTGTTACTTCCGGTGTTGCAGTCTTGGATGTCGGACTGGGTTCCACGATTTCATGAGTGTTAAATGGTTGCCTGTTTGGATGAGACAGGCGCAGACAATGACTACAATAAGAGACATTGCAATCTAAACATAACTTTTTTGCTTTACGAGGGGGAGTTTTCTCACACAATTGACAAACACTTCGCCCTCCTTCCACCTTAGGTGCAACAACGTCTGGCGTTGGTTTCTGTACTGGTTCTGCCTGCTCTTGTTTCTTGTCCGCTTTGTACCGTTCAATGATGTTTTCAAGTGCAATAACTCTTGGGAGACTTGATATTCCCCCACTGACATAACAGTTATCTCGACAAACGGGGCAGCGGATGAAGTTGAAGTCGAACAGATGTTCTGCGCATGGTGAACGACACAGCACATGCGAACATGGAAGTATTATGGGATAGTTAAATAACTCCAAACATATAGGACACTGCAGATCCGTATCAACCTCCATCTGGGACCGTAGGAAATAACCCAGTTTGGATTTTCTTTTCGACGACTGATTCTTCTTCCTGGCTGATGAATGATGGGTAATTCCTGGGGTGTCACGTTCGCAGAATGGTGTTACCTGCAAAACGTAAATATATTGTCTCTGAATTTTCTGTTATGGACACTATTAATGCAGCATTTCGCATATCTTTTTACCTCGTTTTGAAGTCTCATTAATTATATTTTAATGATTATGTTAGATGAGGTACATATGTAGCTTTACAAAAAGAAAAGTTTTTATTTGTTAAAAGATTTAGGATGAAATCTATCTAGAGTCTGTGTGTCTGTATATTTCAGCAAATAACCCCGCCCCTCCAATTTGTATAATACTTGTTTAAGTAGAGGGCTTTAATAACGCTGTTTAACTTGTGTGCGATCCTATTGCTTAATATTAATGTCAACAAAGTCATTTAATGTACTTAAGCATTTAATTCAGCACAGACAAAGTCATATCCTCAGTGCCACTACAAGACAATGGTGCCGACGACATACCACAAGATAACGAGCACCCATCATTGTACCACGTGGTTACCAAACTGATCCGACATAACACAAGATAACGGGCACCCATAATTGTACCACGAGGTTACCAAACTGATCCGACATAACACAAGATAACGAGCACCCATCATTGTACTACGAGGTTACCAAACGGATCCGACATAACACAAGATAACGGGCACCCATCAATGTACCACGAGGATACCAAACTGATCCGACATAACACAAGATAACGCGCCCCCATCATTGTACCACGAGGTTACCAAACTGATCCGACTTAACACAAGATAACGAGCACCCATCATTGTACTACGAGGTTACCAAAATGATCCGACATAACACAAGATAACGAGCACCCATCATTGTACTACGAGGTTACCAAAATGATCCGTCACTGAATTACATCAAAGTGGGGATGGGGGATGTGAGTACACGGTACATCACTCCAGTCAATTTCAAGATAATTGAATTAACATGGCTACTTTACACTGGAGGAGTAGCTTGACAGTGTGTTCGGGTGTGTTAACGTTCTAGTCTAGGCAGAATACACCTCATAACCTATCCGAGTGAATGTTTAACTGTGATTGATTGCAAAGTCAACATGCAAACATCAGAGATAACGACCATGTACTCTGGTCAAGTGGGTGTATCTACTGACGGACAAGTGTCCTCGACTGACCACTCGATAGTATCGACATAGACCGGACGGCCAGGTGGATTACATGTACTGTAAAGCGCGTGTTTGTTCGGCGTAAAGCCAAAACACCAACGTGTATTTAATGTCAGAGTTAACATAAAAACAATCTCACCAATTTTCGTCTTACCGGGCCTTTAACAGGGTCTATACTAACGCGCAAACTAAATATTATCTTGTAAGATTAGTGTACACGTCGTGGTGTATCATTCTAAGTCCAATGACAGTGTTTATACGTTTTCCAAATCACCGAAAGACATGGAGACTAGACATAATTTATTCATCGTTATCAATGTGTATTCGACATGCAAAGAAAATATGATAAAAGGCAAGACCTTGAGTTCTCTTTGATGTTAAACGTTGGTGAATCACATTTTTTTTTTTATTAAAATTGCACGCGATTTCCTGCGGCAAGGAAAGCACGCTACCACGCTTTTACCGGAACACGAGACCGTGATGTCAAGGAAAGAGGAGTTCCAACATGTACCTCATGTAGATTTAACATCAATCGGATCGTTAGAAAAAATAAGTAAATAAATAGATAAAAAATCTAAATAAGAGATAAATACAGATAAAACACCTATAGTGAAAATTTTCAGCTTAATATGTATCATTAACTTCTTTAAAATCAATTTTAATTTTGGGGAAGGAAACATAGCATTTAACAAAAATAAAAGGCATTTTAGAAGATAATTGTCCATTATCATATCCTTATGCATATGTAGTCGATGACAAAATCCCGATAGGGACGGCTGGACCTATGGTAACATTGGTTCGGAATACACCTGCGTTCTCTAATCACAGCCCATCAGTGGAAATCCTTCGGATACACAATGATTTCTATTTACGTGTTTAATGTCACTTAAGGTTTCCATGTTTCCACTTTTGCAAGTCCATCCACACCATATCAAGCTATTTGAGTCTTGCACATCAATATCAACCTATTCTCCACCCCGCCATGTGACTTTTGCACATCAATCGTGATTCGTTGCTTGTCAGCTTAGGTAGCTTTTATCGATATTATTGAATATTGAAATAATTCCGGGCGTTAAAGAGACTTTTGCATGTGAATGTGTCCCTGTATATCTAGCACAAGGCCATCGATAAACAGCGGTATCCAAATAGACCTGTGATCACGCTAGTGTGTTAATGGGTACTACGGAGGGGAGGCTAGAAACGAGACAACGAGAACGATGAGGGGACACAATAGTTATATGCAGCGCAACCCGGCACGTATACAATACGCCATTATCTTCAATGTGGTATTCTTCCATTATGAAACATTTGGTTCTGCCATGACAGGCCCAGCGCTCCATTCGGTACCGCCTTAATATCCATGGCTGTCTAAATCACATTTCAATAAAGACCATCAACAGACACATTTGACTGATGCTGGTCAGGTGGAAGGTATGAATGTCTCCCTGTCTCAGTTTTTTTCTAATTTTACAGCCCAAAAATATAAATATGGCATTGAAACTGCGACAAAGGTCATGATTGAAACTTTAACCTTGAGCGAAATTAGAAATGAGTCCGCAATACACTGTAGTGGCGCTCATGATAAATATACGATAATAAAGTCGAGCATAGTTCCGACGTTGACCGTCCCGGAAGTTGCAAAGCATCATGGGCCCACGCTTCTCCTAGTAATACAAAATCAGCATATATAGTAGCTGCGGCCCAATTTCGGGTTTGGCAATTTAGACCTCTTGGGTAGGAATACATATTTCTGTCTCACACCTAAGAAAGGTTCTATTACTAAAGACTTGCACACATTACAGATGTCGTGTGTAGTAGCGGTATTGGTATTGACGTCCCAACACAACACGATTACAAGGAACAATAAAATCTGTACTATTCCTCAACTGATTTTATTTTGGACGTAAATGTTATGAAATTCCTTTCACTTCAAAGTCATAATGCACTTTACAGCGTACCTAAAGTACATTATTTACAAGTGCAATGTTCATAAAATGTGTACCTTTAGATTTTATAATATTTAACTCGCAAAAATGTAGAATATTCACTATTAATATATGACTTCCCCGCCAAAACACGCAGACGACTAATAAAATGTGTACTTTACGTAACAACTCGGTATAGCTTAGTGCATCATTGTACATGCACTTTTAAATTGACTGGAAATGAATCAGTTAAACAATATTTGAGATAATCACATGGGTTTACTGATATAAATTTAAACAACAACATTTCAGAAGACATTACAATTATAGAAAAGACATCAACAGGAAGTGAGGAAGCACCAAAACAAATTAAAAGACTAAAACGGCAATTCGGGAGACATTAAATTTATAGAAAGACAGCAAGAACAGACAAAGCATCAAAACTAAAGGAAAGACAACAACAGCAACTCGGGAAACAACAAAATTATAGAAAAGACATCAACAGCGGAGACACCTAAATAATAGGAAAGACAATGGAATAAACGAAACGCCATACAAAAAACAACCAGAATACTCAATGTGACACCTAAATAATAGGAAAGACAATGAAATAAACGAGACGCCATACAAAAAACAACCAGAAGACCCAATGTGACACCAAAATAATAGGAAAGACAATGGAATAGACGAAACGCCATACAAAAAACAACCAGAATACCCAATGGGACACCTAAATAATAGGAAAGACAATGGAATAAACGAGCCGCCATACAAAAAACAACCAGAATACCCAATGTGACCCCTAAATAATAGGAAAGACAATGGAATAAACGAGACTCCATAAAAAAAAAACCCAGAATACCCAATGTGACACCTAAATAATAGGAAAGACAATGAAATAAACGAGACGCCATACAAAAAACAACCAGAATACCCAATGGGACACCTAAATAATAGGAAAGACAATGGAATAAACAAGACGCCCAACAAAAAACAACCAGAATACCCAATGTGACACCCAAATAATAGGAAAGACAATGGAATAAACGAAACGACATACAAAAAACAACCAGAATACCCAATGTGACACCTAAATAATAGGAAAGACAATGGAATAAACAAGACGCCCAACAAAAAACAACCAGAATACCCAATGTGACACCCAAATAATAGGAAAGACAATGGAATAAACGAAACGACATACAAAAAACAACCAGAATACCCAATGTGACACAAAAATAATAGGAAAGCCAATGCAATAAACGAAACGCCATACAAAAAACAACCAGAAGACCCAATGTGACACCAAAATAATAGGAAAGACAATGGAATAGACGAAACGCCATACAAAAAACAACCAGAATACCCAATATGACACCTAAATAATAGGAAAGACAATGGAATAAACGAGACGCCATAAAAAAAAAACCCAGAATACCCAATGTGACACCAAAATAATAGGAAAGACAATGGAATAACGGAGACGCCATACAAAAAACAACCAGAATACCCAATGACACACCAAAATAATAGGAAAGACAATGGAATAACGGAGACGCCATACAAAAAACAACCAGAATACCCAATGGGACACCATGATAATAGGAAAGACAATGGAATAAACGAGACGCCATAAAAAAAAAAACCCAGAATACCCAATGTGACACCTAAATAATAGGAAAGACAATGGAATAAACGAAACGCCATAAAAAAAAAACCCAGAATACCCAATGTGACACCTAAATAATAGGAAAGACAATGGAATAAACGAAACGCCATACAACAACAACCAGAATACCTAATGTGACACCTAAATAATAGAAAAGACAATGGAATAAACGAAACGCCATACAAAAAACAACCAGAATACCAATGAGACACCAAAATAATAGGAAAGACAATGGAATAAAGGAGACGCCATACAAAAAACAACCAGAATACCCAATGTGACACCTAAATAATAGGATGACAATGGAATAAAGG